ATTCTTGGGGAAAGACAAAGGCACCACTCAGCCAGACTCTCCCTTCAGGGGCAGGAAGCAAACACGTGCAGACACATCCCCCGACTCTGGTGGACACTGCTGGCCCTGGACAATGAACGATGAGTGGGGTGAAGTAGAGGGATGAGTGGGTGGCATCTCTCAGACTTTCACATCTCCATGGGAAAGAAAAGGGACTCTGCCCAGGATACTGCAGGACAAGGGTTTTACTTACTGGTTGCATACTTTCAAGTCATTGCAGCACTGCGTTCTTCTTGACATGAAAGTGTCCTCGTTCTAGAAAAGACTTTGTGCTTATGAGAGGGGAAGTATTGCCTCTTAGGCTACGTCTACACTACACAGCTTTTAGCAACATGGTTGTGTTGACACAGCTGTGGCACTAAAATCAGGCAGTGCAAAACACTGTCAGCACTTTTGCCAAAAAAACACTGCCTCTCCCCCCCTCCCCCCGCCGCACGCCTGCAGACAAAGCACTGTTTACAGTAGTACTTGCCCCAGCAAAACTTGTGTCATTCTGGAGTGGGGGAGTTAAGCAGCTGTGAACAACAAAAGCTTTGTCCCTCAATTGCGAGTGTAAACAAAATCTTACAGGGGCCAGGAAGGGTGTGCAGTTTTCCCAGATTACCAGGTGGAGGTTCAAACTTTATTTTTGTATAGTTGAGTAGGGACGATAAAAGTAGCGTATTAGGGTAACCATGTAATTGCTGAAAATCTCAGTGGTTACACAGTTACCTAGGCTGCAGGCTCTGCCGTGTAAAGCTTAGCTGTAAACTGAAGAGCCTGCCATGAAGTCTGCCTGAGAGTGGGACTACCAGCCCTTGCCAACCTGGCTCATGGGGAGGAGGCTTCACTGCAGCAGACTAAGGGGGATATAATAGATGTCTATAAAATCATGACTGGTATGGAAAAATGAATAAGGAAAAGTTATTTACTTATACCCACAATATAAGAACATGCGGTCACTAAATGAAATTAGCAGGCAGCAGATTTAAAACAAACAAAAGGAAGTTTTTCTTCACTCAATGCAGTCACCCTGTGGAACTCCTTGCCAAAGGATGCTATGAAGACTAGGACTTTAACAGGATTCAAAAGAGAGCTAGATAGATTCATGGAGGTTAGGTCCATCAATGGCTAATAGCCAGGATGGGTTGGAATGGTGTCCCTAGCCTCTGTCTGGAAATGGATGACAGGAGAGGGATCACATGATGATTCCCTGTTGTGTTCTCTCCCTCTGGGGCATTTGGCATTGGCCACTGTTGGCAGACAGGATATTGGATTAGATGGACTTTTGGTCTGACCCAGTATGGCCATTCTTATTTTCTTAGCCAAGCTCCTCCCCTGGAGTGGAGCCAGGTGAGCAAGGGCTTCCTGCTCCACTCCCAGGGAGGAGGCTGAGTGTAAATGACACCGTTAACCAATAAGCACCCGTTTATTGGTTAAATGGTTAGTCATTTATGCTCAGACCTCCCTAGCTAAGAGGAACCCTACATGTCAAACCCATCCCTTGTTGCTACTGACTATGCCTGGCAGAGTATGGTTGTAACCTATACTTTGCCAGCCTAGGTTCCTCAACAGCTGTGCTGGGAATCGTAACATTCATGCACAGTGCCGTCAGGATAGTAACATTCCCCCCTACCTCTCCTATCCTGCCTTTAATTAGTTGGGCTCGACGTGCTGTTCAAAGGAGCTCTGTAGCATCATCTTCCATTTACATATTGGATACAGGGGCTGGAACAAGAACCATGGTGATGATTTAAGGTGGAAAAAAAGCAGGAGTTCTTTATGGGTATGATACATTTTTCAAACTCAAATGCTCTCCCTCCATCTGCTCATCAATCTGATGAGCATGCCATGTTCTATAACTAAGGAGGGTGAACAGTTTTTCAGCCTGGCTAGAGTTTCATTCTGAACAATTCTGACCAAAGCTCAACTCAATCTCTCATGGTAATTCTGTCCATGAGTGGGAACCAAACCTGATGTGTCATTTAGGCATAAGGAACCACATGACAGAGCCTAATCACAACACAATACATGACTAAATGCTACTCAGACACCACAGTGACTGGCAGACAAGACAGACCTGCTGGGTCAGACCAGTGGTCCATCTAGCCCAGTATTCTGTCTTCTGACAGTGACCAACGCCAGGTGCTTCAGAGGGAAAGAACAGAGCAGCCAACCATTGAGTGATTCAGCCAGCACACACTCCCAGTTTCTGGAAGTCAGAAGCAAGAGACACCTAGAACATGGAATTGTATCCTTGACCATCTTGGCTAATATCCCCTCCAATGAACTTACCAATTTTCTTGAACCCCCAGTTATAGCCAATATTCTACGGCAGTGAGTTCCACAGGTTGACAGTACTTTTGTTACCTGGGTGCTCTCCACCCAAATCTAGTGGTACTCTGTAAGGTGGTGTCAGGAGCAAATCAGAACTAGACACAACACATGTAATAAGTAATTTCATCCAAACTTATTAGATCTTAAGCAGACACACAAATATGCAAAACAGTTGAGTGCCCCCAAGCAATAGTCTACCCACAGCATGGAGGGGTCTTGAATGGTTAAGCGATAAGGGCAAAGTGGCCAGCTATCTGCTTGTCACTGTGGATTCCAAGATATGTACAGAAAGCAAAATCCAAATCAGTCAGACGTCTTTCCTTTCTCATGCTAACATATCACATAGTTTGCCACATCAGTAACCACTGAGCAAGCAATTGGTGAGGCCAGAAGTTTCAAGCTTAGTTATACAGATTGTTTTTGGAGAGCCTGCAGTCTCCTGGGTCCCAACACACACATTCAAGTCAAATATAGACAGACTGCCTGTCTTTCCAAAAATCATACGTCAGCAGTTTGAAAGAGGCATGACAGGATGGCATAGAATCATGCTCAGTTCTTGTGGTCACCCCATCTCTCCTCTCCAGGCATGCCTAGTTATGCTAAGGCTGCTACAAAGGCCTTACAAATGCTTTTGGCAATAGGTACAATGATTGATATTCCAGTACTGGCAGTGGCGTAGGAACTTTTTATATGAATTATTTGCTCAGGTCTAAACAAACCAAGAGGACTTTGATGTCTCATGCAATTTCTATACTTAATGAATCACTTGTATAATATCTAGCACCAATATAAAATAGTTTATATGCTTTCATATAAAATAGTTCTCTTTCATTGTTACATCACACCATGGAGAGCATTTACAGTATTTCAGATAACACTATTTCCTTTCATTGTAAACCTGCTGTCTATTAATTTCATTAGATGACTCCTGGATCTTGTGGTATATGAAGGGATAAATAAAACTTCCTTATTCGCTTGCTCTGCGCTGCTCATTTTATCAACCTTTACCGTATCCTTTCCCCTTTAGTAATCTCTTTTTCAGGATAAAAAGTCCCACTCTTTTGAATTCTGGCTCGTACAGAGCGAAGCTGTTCTACACCCTTCATCATTTTTGTTGCCTTTCTCCGTACTTTATCCAATTCTAATATTTTTTTTTTTTAAGATGGGACCACCAAAACTGTCCACAGTATTCAAGGTATGGGCGTATCATGAATTGACAGTGTCATCATGGTATTTTGTGCTTTTATTATCTATCCCTTTTCTAATGGTTCCTAACTGTGTTTGCCCCCTTAGCCCTTTGACTGCTGATAAATATAAAAGAAGCTGAAAATAATAATATAGTGACACACACTGCATTTAATGGACTGGACATGCATTTTACATTCAGGAGGCCTGGGTTTTAATCCTAATTCTGAAAATGACCTAGGACAAATCACATTTCTTTTTCATCATCTATAAATAAGAGATAAACAAACTTACTCATTCTTCGGTAAAGCACAAGATCTACAGCTGAAAAAGCACTATTTAATGGGGAAGGATGATCTTGTGGGAGAACGCAATAGACAACCATTGGAGTATCTGATCTGATTTCTCACTTTCTTACACACACACTTAGAAAATGCATTCTAAGCAAGAGAAGTCAACTGATTTAAATAGGATTTTCTTCCTTAGAAAATAGATTGTCATTACCCTTAAAATTGGGATCACAGATTAAAAAAAACCAACAAAGTAGAATGGAGGGAATTTCAGTTATCTGATTCATCATGGAAACAGCTCAATCTAATAACATGGTAAGAGCACTTGGAAGTAACGGGCATCTTTCTTTTCTAAGCAGTAATAACCACCCACATTTAGGAGGGGAAACAATGTTATTTCCTATTAACGCTTTTATGAGGAAGATTACCACTTTGCCTTTCACAGGAGACGTTGGGAATTCTACCCCTTTAACATATGCCTCGCCAGGGGGGTTCACAGTTGGCAAAGGACTTCTATATGGGTTCTCAAAAGTGAGAAATTTCAGTTCAGAAACAAAAGACACAGTAGCCATGCCTAGGCAAATACTAGATGGAGCTAAGAATAGGTGCATAACTGGCTGGGAACATTCCAGGAGAAGAGATATCAATGGTTCAGTGTCATTCTGGAATGGCATAATGAGTGGGGACCCGCAGGGATGTCTTCTGGATCTAGTTCCATTCAGTATCTTCACCAATGATTTAGATGATGGCATAAAGGATACTCTTACGAAGTTTGCGGAAAATACTGAGCTGGGAGGGGTTGCAAGTGTTTTGTAGAATAGGATTAAAATTCAAAATGATCTCGACAAGCTGAAGTGGTCTGAGGTAATAGAATGAAATTCACTCAGGACAAAATGTGAAGTACTCCACTTAGGAAGGAACAATCCTCTGCACACATACAAAATGGTAAATGACTGCCTAGAAAGGATTACTGCAGAAAGGGATCTGGGGTCACAGTGGCTCAATAAGCTAAATGTAAGTCAATAATGGAACGCTGTTACAAAAAAGCAAATAGAAGGATTCACAAGATAAATTCCTTATTTGACGTCTCTTCCAAGCTTGCGTTATAATAAATTAAGACAAAATTCAAAATTTCCTTGAACAACAACAAAGCAAACATCATAACTGTAGTTTGGTTTGGTTTTTTATTTGCTGGAGTTGTATTGATAGCATGCATGATTTTTACAGCACCTGTAAACAAGTCAGTGAAGCATTATGCTTTAAGGAACTTGTATTTTGTGGAATGTCTGTATAAACATTACCCTTCCCATCCTCCATTGGTATTACACAATACTAATCATAGGCAAGACAGACATGTATTCAGCTGACTTCTTTATGGCTAAAAATACTCATAGCAGCGACTTTTAAAAGATGATTTTTATTAAATCAAGTCATTGCACTTGCTCATTTATTGCTACAGCGAAAAAGGCCATTAACTTATCATAACACCTTTTGACTTTTAATTTAATTGATTGTCTTGTTCTGCTCAGCTGCTATAAGCTTGAGTGCAACCATGAAAATTATCATAGAGCAACGTATCCAGAATTTGTTTTATGCTCTGGTCACAGTGAAGAGCTTTTTTTTTTTTTTTTTTTTTTTTAATATTAGGCTCATTTCTTGCTTTCCATCATCAGACTTAGGCAAAGAGGTAAAAGAGTTCTAAATGTGAAGTTTAGTGTCTGACAGAAGCTCTATTGTTGCCGATTATTTCTGGATAGAAAGTTCCGGCTCAAGTCTTCATTTGCATCGAGGCAATTAAGAGTTAATATTGAACTAGCTTGTTAGCAATGTCTCTCAAATATATCCTAAAACTTATAAAATATATTTACTAATCAGATTTAATGAAAAATGTAATCAGCAATTGCAGACAAACATCATGCAATTCATTCTCTTGATGTTTGACACTTATTGTGTACCAAGTATGGAAAGGTGATTAAAAATTTTACTTCATAAATCTACATATTACCCCCACATACTTACATGAACAGAAATCTAAATGGTGTTTTATAAGCCAAGATTATTTATTGGTGAGCTTATCAAACTAGGGAATGTGCTATATTCTGCTAGGTCAATCAGAGATGAGGAGATTGTTGCATTTTAATTGGCTTTTAAAACAGAAAGCTGGATATTGTAGGTTTGTAGCATTAATAAAATATGAATTAAGGTGGGAGGGAGGAAGAAAGCATGGAATAGATTTCCAGTATTTATTACTTCGAGATTTGAACTACCCTCAGGGGTTAGGTACTATGTGACCTGCAAGTTTTCTTTTTTTTCCCCACGAGGAATACATGAAAGACATTGTGTTGGAGATCGACATGATTCATCAGAAGCTCTTCCAATCTATCATGTGAAAATATATATTTCTTTAAAAAGTGATTAAATTTGGATTTACATAACACACTGACAGCTTATGGTTTATGGCATAAGTAATACTCTTTAAAAAAAATCTCAATATTTACATAAAAGCCCAAAGTGATTTTTCTGGAATCATCAGTGTCTATTAGGTAACAACTGCCCAACTGTAAAGACTGGATTAATGTGTATGTATATATGCACATGGCTGAGTGAAGATTCTGAAAGCTGCAATTCATATGAAGGAAACTTTTAAAATGTTCTTTTTAATACTATTACTGTAAAAAGAAACAAACCACTGAAGACTGATGAGCTAGATTTAAATTCAGTAAAACAGAATAATCCAGAGGTAAGGCTGATTTTGCAGCCATGTGATAGGATACCTAGGCACAACAGGTTGAATTTAAGATGAATTTAACCTTAACTCTGGATTTCTTTTTCTCTTTTTTTGTGGTTTTAAGAAGTAACTTTGTCCTACAGTAGTGACATGGTTCAATCCTAAATCCCTTTTGTGAATCCTTTTAGTGCATGTGACAAAATGTTTTTGATTAGATTATTAATTACTAATATGCATAGGTGATTAATCTGCCACATATCATTACCAAGTTCTTGTTTCATCAAACAAATTAAAAAAACAAAATATTTCTAATACTCTCACTGCAGACAGGCACAACAGTATCATCCTGGGGAAGAATTCTAAAATATACAAATATCATATATTCCCTTCTGTGTGTCCGGGAAAAGTAGACTACAATAACTATTACACTACTGCATCCCTCCCAATTGACTATCTTACAGATTACTTGTAAAGATATACCTCCCTATTTATAGTATAGATCTCTTTAAAAATTACACTACAAGTATTCAATATAAATCTATTATGAACTCCCTCTTCTTTTTATACAGACAGATTCAGTAGTATTTTCAAGCAAACCAGAAAATAAAGGTCTGCAATTCCAGCACAGTAAGAAATAAGGCCTCTTTTATATTGGCAAAAAATTACAACATTCTTTTCCTTCATCTCTCTGAATACAAGACTATATTCCTTTTTACTCTTTTTTCTCCCCCCTCTAGGCCCATTGAACACCAGCATTCGTTATTTTGAAGTAAAAAATAGTCAGTTCTATTTGTATTATGACTTTGAATTCCTGGCAAGTTAAAGCAGCAGAGACTTTGGCTGACTCATGTAGACATGACTGCTTTCTTCAGCTTTTCTATTTCAGCCTGGAAAAGAAAGACATGAGAATAATGAACTACCCAATACCTCAATAATAAATATCTTTAATAGACACATGACTTTTTACCAAAATGTTAATGTTTTAATCAATTTTTCTTTGCAATTCATACTAAGAAATCATCATTACAGCCAGTCCCCGAGTTGTGAACGGTCGAGTTACGACCATTCACATTTATGACCAAAGCGGTCGTAAATGTGGTCCCCGAGTTATGAATGCAATCTGCGCTTATGAGCAGCGTGGTCGCCATGTAACTCAATGGGGTCAGAGTTGCAAACACTTCGAGTTACGGCCAAGTGTTTGGTCAGTAACTCACAGAGAGGCTGTATTAAAAATATACGCACTTAACAATAACATACTAAGTAGTAGCCATGGCTTAACAAGAGTCATTTTAAAATACATATTGTATATTTGTATGGTAAATTTTATTGAATAAATGGATTCTGATTATATTGCCCCTCAGAACAAGTTTGTTCTCTGAATTCAGTTATATAATGACTTCTCCTGTATAACATGATTGTAAATTGAGAAAAAGGGTTCTAGCCCACGATAGCTTTACGCCCAAATATATGTGTTAGCCTGTAAGGTGCCAGAGGAATCCTCATTGCTTTTATTTACAAATGACATGTACTCAGAAATTTCAGGAAAAGACTAGGTTTTCCCCACAGAACTTGAAGAAAAACAAGTCTTTAAAGCTCACTGTACTGTACTATATGGCTGCGTCTAGACTGGCAAGTTTTTCTGCAAAAACTAGTGCTTTTGCGGAAAAACTTGCCAGCTGTCTACACTGGCCACTTTGAATTTGCGCAAGAACACTGACAATCTAATGTAAGATTGTCAGTGTTCTTCCGCAAATACAATGACTCTCCCATTTGGGAAAAAGACCTCTTGCACAAATGCTTTTGCATAAGAGGGCCAGAGTAGACAGCTGAGAACTGTTTTGCGCAAAAAAGCCCTGATCAGGAAAATGGCGATTAGGGCTTTCTTGAACAAAACCAAGTCTAGATTGGCACAGACGCTTTTCCGCAAAAAGTGCTTTTGCGCAAAAGCGTCTGTGCCAATCTAGATGCTCTTTTCCACAAATGCTTTTAACAGAAAAAACTTTTCTGTTAGAAGCATTTGCAGAAAATCATGCCAGTATAGACGTAGCCTATATGTAACTACATGCCACTAGCTCCTTATTATTTTGTTTGAGTTATTCTGATTTACTGGCCTCCAGACCAATTAAAATTAGATGATTTAATACTTGAAATTAAAAAAAAAAATCAGAAAAATTTGACAAGTTTTTCATGAGTTGTCTACACCATTTTTTAAGCCATATCTGTAAGACCTGCCATCTCCCTGTGCTCAGTTCTCAGACTCATGATTTTCAACCCTGCTTAAAAGAAGATTTCATGGCAGGATAACTGAAGCCTGTTAAAATTGTGTCCTTGAAAAACTCTAAGACAAAGCAAGATCACAATGTATTGTGGATATTACTGAACTCTTTCGAAAGAAGTGTAAATTAGGCAAATCGAAAATGCAAACGAAGCACAGATTTAAATACCCTGTGCTTCATTTGCATTTTTACATTTGAGTGCTTTTTCGAAAAAGGCTTTTTTGAAAGTGAAAGCGCAGTATAGACGCGGTTCTTTTGAAGAAAAAAAAAAAAAAACTTGAGTAGTATGGGTTCTTTTGAAAGAGGTTTGTTTTCCCCGAAAGAACCGGGTCTAGACTGCACTTTCACTTTCGAAAAAGCCTTTCGAAAAATTACTCCAATGTAAATATGCAAATGAAGCACGGGATATTTAAATCCGCACTTCATTTGCGCTTTCGATTTGCCTAATTTACATTCCTCTTTCAAAAGAGGAATGTAGTTTAGATGTGCCCAGAACGATGAAAGTAATAAAGTTTGTTATTTCAGGTGCATGATATATTACAGTATCAGGTGGAGCAGTGCCGCAGAGGGTTGGATTCCTCTGTGTGCGCACCACTGCTTAAAGCGACGCCATTTGTACAGGTAAGTCTCGTGTCTCGTTTGCCTCCTGCTGTGCAGCAGTATGTTTCTCACTTGCTGGGAACACTGCTGCTTTGCTTCTGAGAATCACATAGGTACCATGCCGTCAAGTGTAGCATTCGTGGTTGAGGATGAAGTATTGAGCCACTGTTCTGGGAGAGAAGGTCCGGTTGGTTCAGAAGTGGGCAGGGAGGTTGTAGAGACAGTTGGATAAAGACATGGGAACCATGTCTGTTGAGGTCACACTGGGGATATTAGAATCACTCAGGCCCAATCTTCCTGTATCTTTCCAAGGACTCAGGGAATGAGGAGGATAGGAGGAAAGGCGTATAGTAAATGGGTCCCCAAGAAAGGAGCATTGTATCTCTCAGGGAGCCGTGTCCTATGCCCGCTCTCGAACAGTATTGGGGGCATTTGGAGTTCTGTCTGGTCGCAAAGAGGTCTATCTGAGGTACATCCCGACATTGGAAAAGCTCATGAGTGATGTGATCATGCAGCTTCCACTTGTGCTCTTTGAGGAAGTTACGGCTGAGGGTGTCTGCCATAATATTCTTGTCCCTAGGTAAGTATGCTACCGTGATGGTTATTTTGTGGCGGATAACCAATTCCACAGCTTGACTGCCTCTGCGCATAATGACTAGGACCTTGCACCCCCTTGGCAATTGCGGTAGAACATAGTAGTCATGTTGTCGGTGAGAATACGCACCAAAGACCCTTGGATGTGCGGGAGGAAGTGCTTGCATGCATTGTGAACAGACTGAAGCTTGAGCAGGTTTATGTGGAGTTTGGACTCATCTTTGGACCATTTCCCTTGCGCAATCTGTTGTTAGAAGTGGGCACCCCAGCCCATCAGCGAGGTGTCGTCCAGATAGGGGAATATTGTAATGCCGTTGTATCTGAGATGTGCTGCTGCCACCGTGAGGATACTGGAAAAGACTCTGGGGGCAGAGGAGAGTCTGAATGGGAAGACTCTGTACTGGAAGAGATGTGAAGCTACCACGAATCGTATGAAACGCCTTTGTGCGGGATGTATTGTGATGTGAAAGTATGCATCTTGAAGGTCGAGGGCTCCGAACCAGCCCCCTCTGTCCAGTGCCAGAACTATAGTGAGGAGAGTGATCATTTTGAATTGCTGCTTGTTGAGGTACTTGTAATTTCCACAGGTCCAAGATGGGCCTCCAATCCCCTGACCTTTTCTCAGTGAGAAAGTAGTTCAAATACAAACCTCCCCCTTCTAATCTTTTTGTAACTCGATCTATGGCTCCTATATTGAGGAGATGTTGCACCTCTTGGAAAAGCAGTGTGTCATGAGAGAGGTCCCTGAAGAGGGAGGGAGAAAGTGCGGAGGTGCTATGAAGGGGATAAAATATCCATGGTTAATGATTTCTAGTACCCACCGATCTGTGGTGATTGCTGCCTATTGATTGTAAAAAGGGTGCAAGCGGAGGTGAAATATGTTGGACTCACCAGGTACTAGAGTGGAAGGGCGGTCAGGTAGACCCTCGACCAAATTCTCAAACTTGCTGCCTAGAGACATGAGTGCGGAGGTGCTATGAAGGGGATAAAATATCCATGGTTAATGATTTCTAGTACCCACCGATCTGTGGTGATTGCTGCCTATTGATTGTAAAAAGGGTGCAAGCGGAGGTGAAATATGTTGGACTCACCAGGTACTAGAGTGGAAGGGCGGTCAGGTAGACCCTCGACCAAATTCTCAAACTTGCTGCCTAGAGACATGAGTTGTAGAAGAGCGTTTGTTAGGGGCTCTTCTACTTGAGGACGGAAGCGATTCTGTTCAAGAGGTTGGTACTGCTGTTGTCTAGTAAAGGCCGTGTCCTGTGTCTCTGGTAAGGTGTGTAGTGCTTCCTCCAGTAGGGTGGAGAGTACATCCCCAATGTGCTTAAAGTAGTGCGCAAATCTTTGTTAAAGGGCAAAGCCTCGTTAGTACCGATAGCAAATAATTTGGTCTTATCAAAGGGCAGGTCCTCTACTTTGGCCTGGAGGTCCTTAGGCACTCCTGTTGCTTGCAGCCAATATGCACATCTCATTACCACAGATGTCAGAGTAGACCTAGCCGCAGTATCTGTTGCGTCTAGAGCCATTTGCAGCACTGTCCGGGATATAATGTATCCTTCTTTAATGATTGCCTTAGAATAGGTCTTTTGTCCTCTGCAATATCGTGCATAAGCTCTGTTAGTTTCGTGTAATTATCAAAATCATAATTTGGAAGCAGTGCTATATAGTTGGGTCTGTGAAGCTGCAGGGTTGAGGAGCACATCTTCCTCCCAAAGACATCGGGGCATTTGTGGTCCTTGTCCTGTGTCTGAACCTTGTGCTGCAGGTTTTTGGTCCTTTGGTTTGCAGCATTAACCACCAAGGAGTTAGGTTGAGGGTTTAAGTACAGGAATTCCATGCCCTTTGACGGGACAAAATACTTTCTATCACCCCTTTTGTTGGTGGGGGGGGGTTGCCATACTTAGTCGGCTGCCTCAAGAATAGCTTAATCTAGATCAGTGTTTCTCGACCAGTGGTACAAGTACCCTCAGGGGTACTTGAGAGAAGTATTTCAAAACTGGGCTTTTTTAGTTTGGAAAAAAGATTAAGGGGGGACATGATAGCGGTTTTCAAATATCTAAAAGAGTGTCACAAGGAGGAAGGACAAAATTTGTTCCTCTTGGTTTCTGAGGACAGGACAAGGAGTAATGGGCTTAAAGTGCAGCAGGGGAGGTTTAGATTGGACATTAGGAAAAAATTCCTAACTGTCAGGGTGGTCAAATATTGGAATAAATTGCCAAGGGAGGTGGTGGAATCTCCCTCTCTGGAGATATTTAAGAACAGGTTAGATAGACATCTGTCAGGGATGGTGTAGACGGAGCTTGGTCCTGCCTTGAGGGCGGGGGGCTGGACTCGATGACCTCTCGAGGTCCCTTCGAGTCCTATGATTCTATGATTCTAACATAACTGAAATTTGGAGAGAATTGAATTTGTTTTAGTTTTACAGTGCTTTATTATTTTTGTACTGTTTACACCCACAAATTTCATCACCCACCCAGTTACGATTAAGTTGTTTAAACAAATGTGTTGCAATGGTAGAAAAAATGTGTGTGTCTGAAAACTGTAGGTACTGTGGGGCACTTACTTTTTTTAAAAAGGGGGTAACTTTATAAAAAAAGTTGAGAAACACTGGTCTAGAGGCAGGGCGATTTTGCAGAAGGTTCTTTAGGAGCTTGTGGTGTTTTTCCTGCACCTCTGATAAGACTACCTCTGACTGATAGCTATTCTCTTAAATAGATCCAGGAATGGTTTAAGATCATCACTAGGTGCTGGATCATTCAGGATAACTGCTTCATCAGGAGCGGAGGAGGGGTTATCATTGAGTGGTATGTCTGATTGCTGGACCACTGGTTCATCCTCAATTTGCCCTCGGATGGGGAATGCGATGGGGCTGAACGTATAGAGATCACAGACCTCTGTGCAGGGGTTGGAGGAGCAGTGGAGGTATGATGTGGTGCCTTGTAGCGATAGGGGGACCATCAGTTATGGTTTCTGTTATAGTGGTAACATTCCAGATGCCAAAGATGATCTTAATAATGAGGTAAGCCATATGCCCCATAAGGTACATATGCTCTCTCTGGGGAGGAGTGTTCAGAGGAGAACCTACTCCTTGAATCCCCTTGGTAGACACTGATTTGAGACAAGGCAGGTGAACATGGTGAGCCCCTTACTGGTAATGGGAGTGAGAGTGGTGCTGTGTCGAAGGCCATATGGGGGCCCCATTCTGGGCCTCCTGTCCTGTCATGATGGTGCCTGTGTTTTGCACATTGGGCAACGGCTGTGGGATGATGCCCTGTGAGCCACTGCTGAGTCCCCCAGTACGTGAGGTGGTGGCATGGGAATGGTCGCGACCCCAGGGGATGTGGGGTTAGCATGAGGCACTGGAAGGCAGCTGGGAATAGCTCTGTCACTGAGTGTGCTCAAGGCACCCCGGGTGTCCTGATGTCATTTGTGCCTCTGTTACATCAGGGCCCTTAGTAGGTGCTCTTTTTGATGCGTGGGCAGGTGGTTTGATCGCCTGTTTAGAGTGTGTTCTTGAGTCTGTCATAGAAGAGGCTTGAGATTTCCCCATGTCTGAGGTGCCCGGTTCATCCCCTTTATTGATTCTTGGGGGGCGAGAACAGGCTGGTAAGGGTCTGGTTTCTGACCGTGCCTTCTGAGATAAATGGCTGGAGGATTGCCCTGAGAGGATTTTGCACTCAAGCCCTTATTGCCCCCTTTATAGCTACGAAGGTCAAGGGCTTTGTCAACAGACAGCACGCAGCCTGAGAGCTCTCTTTCCTTGCAAGCCCTCGCTGTCAGGATGCAGCAGTGGACACATTTTTGTTGTATATGCGTGTCCCCCAAACAGTGTATGCATTCACTGTGGGCATCAGAGGTTGGCATAGGCTCCCGGCAACTTCCACATTTCTTGTCCTTAGGCAGGACTAGCATGTCTCCCCAAGGCTGAGTATGCTACCCAATCTGTGTAAACCAAGCTACCTGCTTGCATTACTAGTTGGTTTATTTGTTAGGTTGTTGTATGTTTTTGGTTTCACTGGGCTGCTACAGCTTGTCCCTGTGTGGCAGTGAGAGCTGCTAGCAGCTTTTTTGTTTGTTTTTGTTTGAATAAAGAGAGGAGTCTATCTAAAGTACTCAATTGGTTGTCAATTGTTTCTCTTGGATAAGCAGAGCATGCCAAGGAGGAGAGGGTTGAGCTCCATCAGTGGGGGGCAGGGGAGGGCTGAGGGAAAAGTGGGCTACTTCAAAGGTGGGAATGCCGCACTCCACTCAAGCATGTGCAGCCTGCCTGATGACTGCTTAAAAATGACGAGTCCGACACCAACAGTGGAGCACCCACAAGGACATCCCTCGAAGAGCCACCTCTGGTGTCATCAGTATCGTATGCACATGTCTATCCACTTTCCTTGTCCCTAAAATTACCTCTAGGTTATTTCGCATCATCTTCTCCTCCGCCAAATCTTTTCTTAATTTTTCCAGTTCTTTCCTATAAATTATAAATACAATTAAAATATTATTCTAAATGAAATTTAAAAAAAAATCTATCATCTTATATTTTATAGTGTTGGGAACTGAAGTTATTGACACTGACAGGAGTATTAATTCATGCAACAGATTTTTGTAACACTGTACCACATATATGCAACACATATTTAAGAATTCATTAGGAATATTTTCCATGCAAGATTAGTCTTACAATGTGTGTAAAAGATTGAGATAAGACAAGCTCACTAAAGGGGCTGTCCTATTTACATACATCTTGAGCTGAGTTTTGAAAAAGCATCTCTGACCCTTACTCCTTTATAAGAATTTGTATTTTTGCTTAGAAGAAGAGTACGCATTTATGACATATTTGTAACAGTGATTAAAAAAAAAGAACACAAGAGGAAAAGGAGGTAGAATGCAACTTCAGCAATATTTCTCAATGAAAATTAATATATATTCATTATATGAGCCTGCTAGATGAACTTCTAAAACAAGGTGTTTAATGTAGTCCAGGAGCAATCAGTATGGAAAGCCTACCTTTGAAAGAAGTTTTCCAGTATATAATATTTAGAAGCAAAGTTGTGAAATTTATTCAATTGAGGCGTAAGAGGAATTAAATAATATTTACCCGTGTTCTTTTTTCAGTGCTTCTACAATGCTCAACAACTCACTAATCTGAGCCCTGAGATCATCCACAGAATTTTTTCTCCCATCATCTATTTGGTCTTTAACTGTGATTTCTCCAGGAGTTGAACTGAGTACAACAGAATTTGTCCTTGGAGATGTAGACAGAGGTGAAGGGATCACAGGTGGCTGAAAAATCAATTAAAAGGTAACAATGAGTTCACTATACATTAGGGAACATACCTCGCACAATGTGGTTTTAAGTACCTTTTCAGATTAATTTATTACACTATAAAAATGGCAATCAGAATTACAGGTCGGACCTCCCTGGTCCTGCACTCCTGGGATCTGAGTGGTCCCGAACGATAGTTTGCCGGACCAAGGGAAATCGAGGCTCTCCGCCTGGCTGTCAGTGCTGTGTTCCCTGCTGTCTCCAGCCCCTCACCATGCGAGCTCTGGACATGGGGTTGGCCTCGCTGCTCCAGTCCCGGCGTGTATTGAGCTGCCAGTCCCACTGCTGCTAGCCGCTACTGGTCGCTGGCCCCACTGCTTCCAGCCCCAACCTTAAATCTGGCCAGGCCAGGCTTACTGGTTCCAGCAATATCCATGGTCCATGGATGTTGCCGAACTAGAGATTCCCGGATTTTAGAGATTCAACCTGTAACCCGTTTGTAACACTGATTTTATTAGAATGTACTGGATGTTTCTGTATTGCGGGCATTTCAGTTTTTACAAAAGAGGTGATAGGAAGAGCACTCCATTTTACAAGGCAGTACATATTTATGCCAGGTAAAGTTCTGCCAGTAATGGATGAATAAGGAAAAAGAGCCTGTTTGGCATGTCTCCCATGGCCTGGAACAAGCACCCTGAGAAGTTACTCACCCAGTGGAGTAACGATGGTTCTTTGAGATGTGTGTCCCTGTGGATGCTCTACTCAGGTCTCGGTGTGTCCTCGTGGTGCTCATCGGATATTTTTGATGAGCAGTGCCTCTCGCACCTTGCCTGCGCATCCAGCGTCTTGCACCCTTGCCATTTGTCCAGTGCATGCACGGCACGAGCCTATCTGTTCCTTTCCTACTTTAAATCCCCTAAAGACTCCAAGTAGAGGGAAGGACAGGAGAGTAGAGGAGCATCCACAAAGACACATCTCGAAGAACCATCGTGACTGCACCGGGTGAGTAACGTCTTCATTGAGTGGTGTGTCTGGGTGCTCCACTCAGGTGAGTCAGTGGCAATACCTGCCAGATGGTGGTGGGCATTGGAGTCACTTATGTAGAGGAAGGAAGGACCGCATCTGCCAGAGATCTGGAAGATATTTGTCCTTTCTGCAGAGCATAATGTGGTGTGAAAGTGTGATGAGAAGACCATGTGGCTGCTCTACAAATGTCCACCAATTGTACGTTGCTTAGGAAAGCCATTGTTGTGGACATTGCATGCATGGAATGAGACCTAATAATCTGTGATGGCTGCTTGCCACAAAGTTCATAAACTGTATGTATGCAGCTGGCAATCCATTTGGATAGACTCTGTGTGGAGACAGCTATTCCTGTATGTGGTCCAGGCCATGCTACAAAGAGTATCTGATTTTCTTGCTTTCCTAGTTCTCTCCAGGTAGACTTAATCGCTCGCCTTGCATCTAACATGTGCAATATGGCCTCCAAGGAGGAAATAGGAGTTATAGGAAAATAAGCAAGTAAATGGGTTCATTTAAGTGGAAGTAGGATATGACCTTCGGAAGGAACTTTGGATGAGGCCTGAGTATAACGTTATCCTTGGTAAAGGTAGTGAAAGGTGGGTCTGCCAAGAGGGCTGCAATTTTGCCCACCCGACCTGCTGATGTTATTGTCACTATGAACGCCACCTTCACGGATAGGAATTGTGGTGATGTAGTGGCTAGTGGCTCAAGGGGTGGTCCAGTGAGCATGTCAAGAACCAAATTCAAGTCCCATGGTGGCATTGGGGGGGAGGGAAGGAGGAAACGGGATGCAGGTTTGGGAGTGTTTTCTTCAGGCCTGTGAGAAATTGTTTCACCATTGGATGCACAGAAAGAGAAATGGTTTACAGGTTCGTGGAACACCGTGACTGCCACCAGGTAGACCTGGGTAGAGCTGAAGGAGAGACCTGTGTTGCTGAGGTCCATGAAATACTCCAGCAAGTTATAGGGGTGGTATTGGGATGTAAATTGCCTGCCGTGCACCATTATTGAAAGCGTGTCCATTTGTTTTGGTAGGTGCTTCTTATGGAGGGCCGTCGTCTGTTCAGTAGAATGTGTCTGACCCTGTCCGAACAGGTAAGTTGTTAATTCTGGAGTCATGGAGAAGCTATGCCACGAGTTTCAGAGTTTTGACGCTCTGATGGCATGTCCTGCTATGGCGCTGCGTCAAGAGGTTTGGCACCACGGGGAGAGCTAGTGTAGGTAAGGGAACCAGGGTTGTCTCTGCCAGGAGGATGCCATTAAAATTAACTGTGACCTGGTCAGATTGGATGTTGTTGATCACCCTGGTGAGAAGAGGGATTGGTGGAAAGGCGTAGAGTAGGGGAGCCATCTAGTGGATGGTGACGGCATCCCCATCTGACCTCTTGCCCAGTCCTGCACGAGAGCAGAACTTGTGGCATTTGCGGTTGAGTGGTGTTGCAAAGAGGTCCATAGTTAGGAAACCTCATTTGCGAAAAATGGAAAGGAGAATATTGGTATTAATTTCCCACTTGTATTGGTCTGAGAAGTTTCTGCTGTCCCGGTATAGATGTGGCAGTTGGAGTTACAAGGTTCCTGATACACCAGTTCCAAAATCTGATTGCTTCTGCACATAATGAGCGTGATCTGGCACCCCCCATTGGCTGAAATAGAACAGAGGGTGTGTTGTCCGTGAGGACATGAATGACTCTACCTTTTATCAGGGGGAAGGAAATGGGTGCATGCATTGCGAATGGTCCTGAGCTCCAGGATGTTGACATGGAAGTGTCTTTCCCATTGGGACCATGTGCCCTGTATTGACCTTGCACCACAATGGGCACCCCCACTCCCCCAGTCCATAAGTGATGCATCTGTCGTTATAGTTACTGACGGATCTGGGCAGTGGAAGGGTATACTGGCAAGTAGATTGGTTGGAGAAGTTCACCAGTCGAGAGATTGCAGTACTGGGAAAGGAAGCGTCAGGCGCTTTGCAAGGCTGTGTTGGGTTGGAATGTAGGTGGTTGCGAGCCAATGCTGTACGCAGCACATGTGTAGTTTCGCAAATAGGCCAATGAGGTTGTGGCCACCATGTGCCCTGACAACTGGAGGAACGTCTGGACTGTGGAAAAAGGGAGTATGCTTGACCCCCCCACCCCCCCCGAATGAGGTCACAGATTATTTTGAATCTTTGTGGTGGCAGGTAGGCTCTTGCTATCACCGAGTCTAGGAGTGCCCTGATAAATTCTATTTTTTGTGTGGGCTGTATAGTGGACTTTTGTATATTGATAAGCAGGCCATGGTGGGAAAAAACATTCCCTGATAACTGTTGTCATCGTTACAGTTTGTTGACAAGTGGAGCCCTTGATAAGACAATCATCAAGGTAAGGGAAGATGACGACGTTCTGTCTTCTGAGGAAGGCTATGACTATGGTTAGCATCTTGGAGAACACTCGAGGGGCCATAGAAAGACCAAAGGGAAGGACCCTGTATTGGTAACAGTCTTGAGCTAAGACGAAGCTGAGAAATCTCCCGTGGGCAGAGTGGATGGTTCCATGAAAATATGCATTTTGAAGGTTGAAGACTGAGAACCAGTCCCCTCTGTCCAGTGCAGGTCTGATAGCTGCCAGGGTCACCATCCTGAATTGTGTGTTGAAGATGAATTTGCCTCATCTAGTCTAGTGGATCTGGGGTAACGTGAGGAACTCTCCGAGTCCAAACGAGGTAAGTTATCGTTATAATTGGAACCGGCACGTGTTATTGCTGAGGGTGGGTGAGTGAGGAATGTGTGAATATGGCCGGGGATCGCATAGACATGTACTGTTGTGATGTAGGAGCTGTATCTCTTGACCGTTAGGTATGGAAGGAACGTGGTTGGTACCTTTGCCATGGTTCCCAGGGTGCCCACTGAGGCTAGAACTATTGTGGAGGATCCATCCACAGTTGGCTATGCCACATGGGATGTTGTTGTAGGAAATGATCTCGATATGAATGCCAGGAAGCCACTGATCCTGATGGAGATGAATGGCATGATAAAAATCCGCTCCTATAGTCAGTTCTTGGTGAGAGCAGCATTGGAGAGTGGGGAGCCCTTTCTGGCATATGAGTGTGCCCCTGGCTATAAGACACCACTGAGGAGCGTGGTGAGCAAACTCCTGATCTGAGCGGTGTGCTTGGCTGAGGAGACTTGTAACTGCCGCGTCTTGCACAGTGCTTTCTTTTGCTGCGGTGCCAGAGCGAGGTGAGGGTTGTTCTGACCAGTTTGTTTAGGCGCTTGTAGGAGCTGGTGATGGTGGCATATGTGGTTTTGTGGGTGCCGCTGCCTCAGCAGCGCCAATCAGTGTGGTGCACGTGGGTTCTGACTCAGCTCTCCTTGCAGGTGCAGTCTTCATAGAATACTAGGACCGGAAGGGACATCGAGAGGTCATCGAGTTCAGTCCCCTGTCCTCATGGCAGGACCAAATACTGACTAGACCATCCCGGATATTTATCTAACCTACTCTTAAATATCTCCAGAGATGGGGATTCTACAACCTCCCTGGGCAATTTATTCCAGTGTTTGACTACCCTCGCAGTTAGGAACTTTTTCCTAATGTCCAACCTAAACCTTCCTTGCTGCAGTTTAAGCCCATTGCTTCTTGTTCTATCCTCAGAGGCCAAGATGAACAAGTTTTCTCCCTCCTCCTTATGATACCCTTTTAGATACCTGAAAACAGCTATTGTGTCCCCCCCTTAGTCTTCTCTTTTCTAATCTAAACAAACCCAATTCTTTCAGCCTTCCTTCATTGGTCATGTTCTCTAGACCTTTAATCATTCTTGTTGCTCTACTCTGGACCCTCTCCAATTTCTCCACATCTTTCTGAAATGCGGTGCCCAGAACCAGACACAATACTCCAACTGAGGCCTAACCAGCGCAGAGTAGAGCGGAAGAATGACTTCTCGTGTCTTGCTCACAACACACCTCAATGCATCCCAGAATCACGTTTGCTTTTTTTTGCAACAGCATCACACTGCTGACTCATGTGTCTTGCATTTCTCCGCGGTGCCAGAGACTGATGGCACCAGGGAACACTGGTAATGAGCATGCTGGGGAAGCCCATGAAGCTTGTGAGCCTTTCCGGGGTGGTGAAGCAGCCCTGTCACTGGGCTTCTGCTGTCCCCGTGTCCCCTCAGGTTTGTCCCGTGGAGGTTGCAGAGACTTCTCCGAGGGGTTAAGCAGCATTTTGCAGTCTTTTCTGGCTCTGGCTGTCATGTTCTGACAGTGCGGGCACCTATATGCTGCATGAGTCTCTCCCAGGCATTTACCAAAGGAGGCATGGCCATCAGAAATGGGCATCGAGTCTCGGCAAGAGTCTTGGCGGCGGCACTTGTCTTTTTTTCCCCCCCCAAATGAACACTGAAAATAGCCTTAACTGACTAAACTATGAGAGAAAAGTCTAAAATAAGTATAGTAATTTTGTTTTTCCTTTCAGGAAGAAGAGCATTGCTTTGACTCCATCTTCAGCTGAGGACAGTAGAAAAGGAATTGACGGCCATGTCAACACTCGACAAACGGCAGTGGTGCAAGACGCTGGGTGCGCATGCGCAGCACGAGGGGCACTGCTCATCAAAAATCTCCAATCAGCAGTGTGAGGACTCACCGAGACCTGAGTGGAACACCCATAGACACACTACTCAATGAAGAACTGAAGTTACTCCAAAATCCTCCTTAAGATCTCGTGTGCGGAAGCGGATTAATTGTAGCTTGACTTCACACACCTGACTGGCTTTTAAACACTGTGGGAGGCTATGCCCACTTCCCCTCAGAAGGTCTCTTGAAAGGCACAAATACAGAAGAAGTGGGAAAACACCACAGGGAACCTGAAGGCTCTCAAGTCCCTCATACTTGGGTGCTCTGGATGTGTGTCTTGTGCTGGACACAACCTGAGTTGGCCAGCCAATAAACCTGGCCCCTAACCAGGCTGGCAAAAGCCAGAGGCTCCTTTTTTAGTAGAGGAGATGGTCCAGAGCAACATGCTGGTCAAGAGACACCCATTATTAAAGGTGCTATGGTAGGCCCAGATTGCCACTGCTTCCTTTAGAGTACCATCTTCTAAATGCTGCTGCTGCTTTGAGTGAGGAACTAAGTCAATTAACAGAACTCTCTCTCACAAGTGTTACTTAGACTATGCTGTTTGCAGCAGCAGTCATCTGTTTGTTCTCTGCATTACACTGCAGCTCTCAGGCACTACCACAGTACAAATATAATAATAATGAGCAAGACTGGGGAGCGGAGGCAGGCTGAAAGAGCAGAACAAGGCACCAGAACCTTAGTAACTGAAGCAGTTTTACCCAAGAGGAACAGTCTACTTAAGAGTAAGAGCCCTCCTTTCCAGAAATCATTTTTTTGTAATGCTCCAGGAGAGAGGTGGGACTCTCCTAGGAATCACAGAAGTTGTCCTGGAGTGACAGGAGTTGCTGGCATCCCTCTTCATACTAGGTTGTCCTCTCTCAACACACTCCCAGTCTCCACCTTTCCACAAATGCTCATTGGCAATCCTGGCCTCCTGCCATCAGATTAACTTTAGAAGTAACATTCACAGAAGTTTTTAGCAGCTATCTGGAAACTCCAGGATAACACCACCACCTCTCATCTTTTCACAAATACAATGTAATGGGACTCCCTAAAGTCAGTTATTAAGCAAGCTTCCAGGGTCATAACTGAGGAAGCTATGCCATTCTGCATGCCTTGTCTACTCAAACCTGCTTTTCTTTATCCAGGAGCTAGGTGGCACAGCACACATCCAACATACCATTGGAACTGGAACCAATAGTTCTGTGCTACTTAATATTGATTCCTGCATCAATGCTGCTATGCATTTAGCTCAGATACAGCACCTGTGTTTGTAAGTACTTGCAATCTATATGGCAGCATTATCAGCATGTGTACATACAACCAAAATGAATGGCACTGGGCTAGTAGCTTGATAGGAGAATCTAATAATTTCAACTTCATACCTTTTTAACTTCAGATGGCTTTGGTTTGGCACTTTCCTCCTCCTCTTTATGCACCTTCACAATTTTTTCTGTATTCTCATTTTGAGTTGGCTGGTAAATAAAAACCATGTATATAGAATATGCTCAGAGTACATTAAACAAAGTTACAAGTCCTAGGATGGAGTAAAACAGGAGCAGGTAATAAGTGGACACAGTTCCAAATCCAGACACTCCCAGCTTCTGCTTCTCTCCTTCCCCTAAGTGCGTCCCACTGGCTGCCAGTCAGTCATTTGGCAGTGTGCCAGAGGCACTGAAGAGAGGCAGGGATGAGTTGATAAGCAGGGCCTGCACTGGTGTGAGGCATCAGGGAGAATAGGAAGGGAAGAGAGAGGGGGTGCCCACCAGTGTGTGCTCAGCACCCACTCATTTTTTCTGTGCATGTTCCAGGCCCAGAGCACACCTGGAGTTGGAACGCATGTCTAGTGGATATGATAGGATCTCTTATAAGGCAGGAAGCAACTTGTATTAGAAAAGAGATATTTGTCTAATATGACAATGTAAAGCCTGAGATTGAGTTTCTATGTTTATGTTCTCTATGAATTTGGGCTTCTTCTATTAAGCTTTTTGTTTTTATCTAGCACAGATCTCTGTTGTGCCAACTGCATGGAGAATGTGCACCGAAGTGCACAGATAACTGGGAGGGGCTGATTTCATGTCTTCGGGAACAAGGTACCGGAGAAGAATGATCTGAGTGTCAGGGAGACCTGGGACTGGAAATGCTATTGATGTTACCATGCAAAGTAATTGATCCTGTGCTTGTGAACAGGCTACTGGTGTCAGGGAACTGAACCCCGGAGTTACATGGCAGATGGTAAATACCTACTGCTGCTTTGTGTGGCCCCCACAATATCACAGAAGTGCATTACAGTTCAACTGATGTAACCATATAATGACAAATCATAAATAAAATATTCTGCCTTCAAGATTTACTTATCCTGACACTGGATATTCTGTACATATGGACTGTAATCTACGCTAAACTATAAATTCCCAGAGCAGGGACTACGGGTTGTTACGGTTGTAAAACAGAGGACACGGCTGGAGTTGAAATATAAAAGCCCCACAGAGAAATTTCTCCTCTTGATGCTATTGGAGTAGTCAGGGAAATAGGAAACAAATGTCAATACAATGGAATAGAGGGGAAAATCTAATTTTTTTATCTGCAATCCTGATGCAGCTATATTCAGTTACACTCATTTTCATCTTTACCTTTTTTTTGTGGATACATGTTCCTATCAATACTCTTAGATGTTTGCTGATTAAATGACTTCCCTAGATCGTGATGTAGTCCATGTGAAATAGATATCCTAAATTTATCTTTCAGAAGAAAGCAGTCAATGTACTCACAGAATTGTTGCCATTGAAACGAGTAGGCAGCCTCCTGCCAGGCATCTTCGGTCTGCTTGCAGTAGGATGTGACAGATTATCTGAGGTAGCTATTACATCATCAAAACTTAAAAGATCTAGAAGGTGAGAACACAGACCCCCTTTAAATTCAGAAGGTTATCATGAAGTAAAGATTTTAAAAATTCAAAGATAAAATTGCTCAGAACAACTGTACATTCAAATTACTTTTAGCATACTATACTCTCAAGATTATGCAAGAAATAGTTATTGTATGCATTTTAATAAGTCTGGAAAACAACACTGTCACTAAAGAAGCTAGGCAGAATTGAAAGCTATTCACTAATAAAACAGTTAAAGAATTCAAATCCCCACCAGAACAAGGCAGGCTCAACTGAAAACATGTCATGAAGCAAATTTCAAACTCAAATGTTAAGGAAAATATACAGTTGTTTCTTGGAATATATTTTTAAAGGAAATTCAAAGTAACATAATTTTGAGCTGTGTCAGATCCCTTTTAAAAAACTTTCAGATAGTGAATTTTCCTATCTTTATACTCTTGAAATTAAGCATATAAATCAGAATGCAACACAGCCCTAAAAGAAGATACAAGAGGCATGATAAAATAAGTGGCACACATTCACTCATGTTAAACCGGCTTAAATGTGTACATCTAATTATAAAAATGGCTCCTAGTAGTTCTCATCTACAATTCCAGCTGACTTTACATATACAACAAACAAACTTGTCTTCAGACAAGCTGCAAGCATCCAAGAGATTTGTAGCCAAACACTGTAAATGTTTCACTTACATTTTTCTGCTAATTTAGATATCTTTTCAAGTTAGGTGAGAATTTGCCTGTGCTTGTGATTCTACATAAAGAAACTTGTAATTTAAGCATTATTTCCTCTCATTCTCTGACTCCACCTTGGTCCTTGAGATAAACGTTGGTTATTTGCACCTCAGAAATACAAATGTCCATTAAGACAAAGCCACCATTTAACGGTATGGGTAAATTATTTTAGGGTGATAAAAATTGAAGTAGTTCAAGGTAGTTTACTTACTATTGGCTATGGGTTAATTAACCTCTTAATGCCTCAATTTACCCATCTGTAAAACAGTTAATACTTACCAAGCTAACAAAGGTATAGTGAGGCTTAAAGATGTGTGTGTAAAGCATTTACATATTAAAAGGATGCTCAATATTATTTCATGTCTTATGAAGAATATTTTAATTTGTAAGGTATCTACATAGTACATACTAATTTCCATTTTAGTTTAAATGTACAGTCTGTTAATGTTTATCTCTACAGTCAAATCTTGATAATGGACTTGAATGCAAATCAATACACAGTATATTTGGTTCTACCACATGGATTATGATTTAACAATCAGCAGCTAATATTTAACTTCATTCTCTATTACACTGTCCTTCCAGGTGTCTCATCTAGCTTCAAAATGTAAGAATTATAGAAAACAGATGGAAAAGACCCTAGTAGGGCTATCTGGTAAGTCCTTCCATAGTATATTAGTGTTTTATCCAGAAGAGTTTCAAATAGCTTGAGTGATGAGGGTTTCACAGCCATGAGATCTCACTACTAGAAGTTCTTCCTGAAAATTTAAATCAATGCCTTTCCACTACTTTTAGCTACAGCCCTTTATACATCCTTAGGAATCTTTGCTTCCTTTTAGCGATTACAACTTTCAGATAACTCAACATGCCTATCCCACCTGCAGCAGGCTGCAGTAAGTTTGGTGGAGGGCAGATATACAGGTAATTGGGTGAGCAGGTTCTTGTTTCCAGCATAGGCTACCAAAGAATGCTGCCCAGCAATTAAGACAGGCAGGGATCTGGGACTCATTAAGAGCTGGCCTGCAGCAGCAGACTAAAGGGACACCTGCAGTCAGGTAGGGCTTGATGGTCAGCTAGAAAAGGTTTCCCCTCAGGTAAGGGGACGGGGTGAGGAGAGGAGTGAGGGACTGGAGCAGGGGAAGTATAAGGTGGAAAAGAACTGAAGGCCATAACTGGGAGAGAGTGTCAGGAGAAGTACCAAGGGAGTGGTTGGACAAGTGGCCCAGCGAGGGGCTATTATTCTGAGGGGATAAGAGCAGAAGCCCCACAAGTGGCTGCTACCTAGAGTCTTGGGCTGCAACCTGAAGTGGGTGGGACCAGGTTCCCCCCACCCTCCTCATGCCTAGTGGGCTGCCACCAGAGGAAAAAGGAACTTTTGGACCACAGAAGGGTTTTCCCTTTCAAACTACTGACTTGTTATTATGAAAATGGCTCATTAAGTGGGGAACCCTCACCTCAGAGAAACAAGAGGCAGTGGGAGGGTCACCAATGAGCGTGTGAGGCATACCAAAAATCTATCAGGAAGCGCAGGACCCAGGGGATGTGACCAGAACTCTGCCACACTCCATTTAGCTGCTGCTTAGCTAAACTGGACAAATTCTACTCAGATATTTTTAAGGGAACCTATCACAGCCCTAGAAAACATGTAATTCTGCTGGCAACAGAAGTGAAAATAGATATAAAGGAAATGGAGATCAGTGGAGAGAAATGGCAGGATAAATTTGAGAAGTGAGGAAAGGGAAGAGTGATGGGTGTAAGGAGACTGATGCAGAAGGCAGTTTAAGGAGGAAAGGATGGCCACAAGGCAAAAAGGTCATTGTAGTCAGGTACCCCACGGTATGCAATTTGTTTAATGTCATACAGTAGCTACTAAGGGGACACTTTTATATTCTAATGGTCCACCTAACCTCACAGCAGAAACACATGTTAAAAAGTAAACCTGGACCTCTGTTATATATCAGAGTAACAATGAGGACAAGAAAAGGAAAACTAACATATGATATTTATATATGTTTCATGTCTCAAGAAGTTTTGTTTCACCTGTGCAGGAAGGAGAAACCGTCTAGCAGTAAGCTTAGAGAGGTGCACAAACCGAATTACTTCATTTACTGTAAAGGATGCCAGCCTGTCTCCCATAGTCGAGTCACTCGCCAGGCACCTAGACCCATCTCTACCCAGAAAGAGAAATATTTCATGAGGACTTGGGAGAAACAGAGTCCAGGGCTACACTTGTTGCCTGGAATACATCATGGAAGTACTGGGATGATCTGGAGAACTGTTTCATTGCTTTAAGGCTGCAAGTTCTTTGGGACAGACTGTTGCAGCTGAGTTAAATGCATAGTGTCACAAAGTGCTATCACAATAATAAAGGGAGCGCTCACTCTGTTAGTTTCTTCCTTATAGCTTTTCTTTCTCATTGGGTCAATAATGAGAATAGAATGTGGTTAACTTGATGCAAGAGCTTTTATTTACCTTTCTGTAATGTTACCCATAATGGGTGAATATTGACCCCACGAAAGTCAATGGTGAGTTTCAGAGGAACCAAAATTTTACCCGTTCAGTGCCAGCTGTAATTGTAAATAAACTATTTATTTATCTATCAAAGACCTGTTTTATAGTTACTATATGGGCTTTTAAGAGTTCATCTACCAAAAAGAGCACTACATGTCAAAAAAAGAGCTCTAATTATCATACATGTACTGAATCAAAGAAAAGGTTGAAAGCTGTGACATTTTGCCAGACACGAGAAGGTTCAATCAACCTCAGGTGGTTATGATAAAGAAAGTAGCCTACTAAGAAAACCTGCTACCACCTAAATCTGCAGGTGCACATTACAGCAGGGCCAAGAGCAAGTCAAGATGTAACACAGAACAGAAAAAGATTGTCAGAAAAATGGCTGTCAACAATGTATCTAGCAATAGTTGGTAAATTTTGGCAGAGACAGTGTCCAGTAGTCTAGCATATACGGTTTTCCATTTGTGTGAAGCATTATAGGGTGCAACAAAAAAATGAGGTGAATGAAGAAGTGAATTAATCACCTGAAGTTGCAACGGTTTAGCAGCTCAAAATATTAGCTATACTGCAATTACACTATGTGAAACAAGGGAATCTAACATGTATATCATAGCAAGAAGACACAGACAGCTGTTTGTGCTGTCTTCTGCCCTAAGTCTAAACTTCAGCTGCAGAAAATATTAGAAGGCAAACATCATAAGTTACAGAATATTAAAACTTCAACAATGCAAAAAATGAGTTTATGTTATTAACTATAAGTATGGAGAAAAACAGTACACTGCAAATCATTGTAAATTAAATCAAAGGAAGATATTACATGTTATGGGAAGTAGTTAGACAATTTTTTATACAACATTACAGGTTTATAGGACAAGAAACCTACAGGGGAAATTATAAAGACTTTTTTTCAAAATGTAACATACAAGAATTAAAGAAAAAATACAAAACCAAAATCTATCAATGTGCATAGCAGACTTGAAAGCCAGATGTGTTTTTGTGTTTGCTTTACTGCAATCCAGTAAACCAATCCAACACCAGTCACTTCAGAAATGTGACTAATATTGAACATAATACCATTACAAAAAGCTGTATTTTGGGCCTTTCCTGACAGGTTAAATAATTCTGTGTAAATATTTGTATACTTTATGTAATCCCAAAATGAATTTAAAAGTAAATACTTCCTTGTCTGCTAGCTAAGGAAAATCTGCATCAAAAAACAAACAGGAAGGCATTTTAAAACAAAAACCTAATTTCAATATATACAAATTATATATGCAAATTAAAATTAATTCTGAGCTGCTAAAAAGAAAAGGCTACGTGCATGTACAGGTATGACACACAGCGTTTGGATTTCCTTATATAATGTTATCTTACCAAAATGGAGAAGGGTAGGGTAATTTCCTGACACGTAAGAAGGGAAACATGGCAAACAGGATAGGAAACAAAATCTGGAAAGAAAAGTCAAGGAGAGGAATGTCTAGAAAAAAGATTCTGAACAAAAAAAATTATTTTACAAAGCAGGAAAAAGAAACATTTGTAGAAGGAACAGAATTGTTTCACATGTTCAGCATATTAACATTATTTATATTATTATATATTCATATCTCAACACAGAATCACTGTTTATTTTCATTCTGTTACATTCTTGGTTTAACCGCCTCTAAATATGTGAGGAAATAGTGTCCTTTTCAAGTAAATTTTCAACAAATGGTGTTCAGAAGTCTTCATAAATATGACCACTGAAGTATTTAT